CAACCCTCTTCTTGCTCACTTACCTACAAATACTTCGCTCATCGGCTTCTGCTTCGCATCTGGTTTGCGGGCCTCCGCCCGCATGTCACTCATGACCTTGAGAAGGGTGTCCCTATTAGCAGATAATTATCCTCTGCCAGACATAGTAGCAGATACGAAGATGAAAAGATGAAAATTCAAGGAATAAGAATGAAAGGTAATGACACAAAATTTCTATACCCCATGACTTATTTATAGCAACCCGAGCACAAAAATCTAGGGCAGTTTAATATTGCGTAATATTGTCATTCAGTTATTTCTTACATGTTAAAAAGATTCCCTTGACCGTTTGTTATTTGCAGCTTCCAAGAAACAAGAGAATCGAGGAACTAAACATGTACACAAAAAAATATGTTAGCATGGATCTCAAGACAAAACAAACGACTCAAAAATATGACCCGACGGGTCGACATTTCCGTTAACGATTGACATATTAATTCGAGCGAAGTAGGTGGTTAGATTAATCGCTCAAAAAGATGTGTCAGAGGATTTTCCACTAGACAATGATCGACCTTAAAGCTGATCAATAGATTGTTAATTTTCTAGTCAAATATCAATAGATTTAAGACAAGGCGAACGACCAACGAACCTCTCACCAATCGACATCAATCCACCAGACTTAGTACATTCAAATTTCTTTTTAATTACTAAAAAATTCTTCTGAAAGCTGATGATAATGAGACTGATCTTTAATTTTATAAGATTGAGGTCTATCCTTATAAATAGGGTGCCTATACCACGAATAAAGGTTACACATTCCTGTGATTCTTAACTGCACACACTCTCTCTTGATTATCTCTGTGCAACATTCTATACCTTCAGTTTGTTTCCCGGACACTTTTGGATTCAATAGACATGTAATTAAAAAGGAATTATGTGAGTATACAGTAAACTCTTATTAAATCTCTTATTTTATTTATGTAATTTAAATAAATATCATTATAATCATGTATATGGATAGAAAATTAAGATTTTATGTGTGTAATAATTTTAATTGAATAAAATTTAATTAATTAATTAATTATTTATTTTTTTTATAGCCGACGATATGCGACAAGTCATTGTAGGCATGTAGCATGCATGGCGGCAACAAACAAAATTAATTAATGTGTTAGTATTTCTCTGCGAAGAGGTTTGTAACTAATTATTGTAGGGATAAGGAGGGATTAGATCAGCCAGCTATTTGATGTATATAGATGCGTGCATGCACGTGCTCAACTACATGAATCTGAAGATATTTCCTTGCTCTCCCATATCCAAATTATATATCTTAGATAATGACATGCCCAAATTGCTTTGTACCTGGAGCAGCCTAGTTCGGCTTCCAGCTAGTATAAAAATTGTACTAGACGAGTGTTAGGAGGTTCACGGCAGTCGAATAATGTATTATAGTCTTATTGTTGTATGAAAATTTAACACACTCTTAGATAAATGTAGGGAAGTATGCAGGAGAAAATATCTTTACTTTTTGAGTGAAAATCTTTGAAAGAGGAAAAAATCATATGTTCTAGCTCAGTTGAAAAAATCTACGATGAATGATGAGTATTTAGGTCCGGTCTTTTCATGAATTAGCTCAAAAATTAATTTGAGATTATGTCATGCTTCGAGATTCGTGTTGGATTATGAAAATTTATTTATGATGAATTTGCAAAA